TGTCACCTGGTGTGAGACATCTTCTCAGAAAAAGCTCTACTTGTTCATAAGATGTTGAAGGGGAACACAAGAGCACTTCATCATAAGTTGGCAGTGACCCGTAGTAGTCGTTCATGTACAAGCAGATACTTGATGTCAGGACCTCATCATGTGGGCAGATTATGAGATTAGGTTGTTTTGAGTTTAGGCCTTTTGGAAACTCCCTTCTGAGTGAACAGTCTCTCATCTCTGAGAGTTCTGGTTCCGCTTCCCACTCATTGTGATTTGAATTGTCTGTCATCAATTGTAAGAGACGTCCTAAACTCCTAATGTCTAGTAGGTCATGAAAAAATATTTCCTCATTCTTCATGTAGCCATTCCACAACTCCTCCAATTCTTTCAAATCAGGAGTCTGGTCTGCCTCATCTGCTGCGTCACTTTCATGTGCAAAATGAATAACACTGTGTGAAGATGAATCCCTGTGTTCATTATCCCTTTTGCGAAGTTCATGTTTGTTATGTCTCCAAATACTCCGGACATCTAATGTTGTGCAGTTTGGTTTGATAAAAGAAAGCATCATCAGTGCTCTGTCCTCTATTTCTGTATTTATATTTGTTGGAGTCAAAACGCTGCACAAGTAGAATATTTGTTGTGCTGTGAAATAGTTCAAGTAGTATTGATCTGTTCTCTGTTCGTCCATGAATTTTTGCCAGTCACCAAGAAACATTTCCATCTTATTGGACAGAGCTACAAGCTGTTCAGGTAAACTTCCAGTTACTTTGAAGCAATACTGGGTTTTGCAAAACTTGATTTCCATAATGATACATGGGTCACTCTGAGTTTTGCAATAAATCTTAGCTTCCCAACACCTAAAAATTGGGTTCCCTGCAGTGTAAATGTCTACAAATGCTTTGGCGAATCTTTGGATGTTGTCAAACACCTGAAAATAAAAGGAAATGGGATTATATAGTTATTATAATTATATAGCTATTATAATCTATCTATCTATCTATCTATCTATCTATCTATCTATCTATCTATCTATCTATCTATCTATCTATCTATCTATCTATCTATCTATCTATCTATCT